TACAGGTCGACATACGACTGTTCGACTTTACGACCAGGACCGTGGATTGGTATGTCTGGCCATCTGGCCACGACTACTCCTCGTCTGGCTGCGTGAGTGTATTCCAGCGTGGTGTAAAACAATCCCCCCCTTGCCCCCGGTAGCCTTAGCATTTCCTCACGTGTCCCTTGATCAGTGTATGGGCAGCCCCTTTACAAATCACTTTCTCTCGGTTCAATTTGTGTCGCTTGAAATTTTCTTAAAAACAAACAAACAAACAAACAAAAACAAAAGCATAATGCCTCTACCAAAATGAAATCGACTTTCTCACTTCGACAAGAAGGAAAGAAAAGTCTCCTATTCTCGGTAGAAAAATGATGGTTGATTAGACAAATTCGAAGGTGGAAACAAAATGAATATGATCGCACGTGATCTGACTTTATCACGCTATGTAGAAGATTTGGAAGGATTCATTGATTTGTATCTTTAACGGCATATCAACTCGTTATGGGTCATTTAATGCCGAAATTTATTTTTTCTTGGTAGCTTTGAAGTAGTAGAAATGCGATATATGTTATTCTGCTTTCACAGTTGAATACATGGTAGATGATACTTATCGTTTGTACATATACATATTTGCGTGAACATAATTACTAGTGGTGGTGACATGTGTTTTATATTGTAGTTTTGTTGAAGTTATATATTAGAATTCAGTGTGATTTCTTTAAGAAATTGTAGAATATACGGATAAATGTCATGAAAGAGTCCTTTTATGTTGCTTTATTTATTGTTGGTAATTTTACTATAAAGAGGTATTGTTGGTAATTTATTTTTTTATATAAATATATATTGCTGGTATTTTTACTATAAAATACTACTTTCATAGTGTTTCGTTGCTTTGTTATGGAGGGGGTTCACTATTGGCCCATAGATGGAACCCTAACAGGTGCTACTACCCCGGGTCAGAGTGGACTTGGGAACATCAATTAAGAGGTGGTTCCACGCTTTTCAAAACTTCCACTCTCCCGATCAGGATTTTGAAGGACAGAGAAGAATTTTGGTAAACCTGTGAAAAGTTCTGCACGTATGTGATCGACAGTTAAAACTTTAAAAAATCAGTTTTAGAACCTGTATTTTGTTTTTGTTTGTATGTTTTGCAAATATTAAACCAATTGCATTCTCGTCTGCAGTGTCTGAATTAAACCTGACGAACGTAAAAATGCGAAGCAATGCGTGGAGTGATGTTACAAATGGTATCAAATGTAAATAATCCGTAAAAATTATTTAAAAAAGACAGTAATGCATAAGGAAACATAAAATAGATTGCAAAATAAATTACTGAGCGATTTAAGACCTGATCGACTATCAAACTTTTGGATTAACCGATCGTGGACGTAAGTCGACGATCAGTATTTTACTTCAACTTGTCAGTTCTGATCTTGCATCTAATAGGATTTTTACCTACACAATCTTGCAAATATTAGAAATCAGAACATGATCAAAATCTGTTCAAACATTATTTTCTTTCATGTTTTCTGATACTTTTTGCACAATTCTAGCATCATCATATTCTTTGTCTTTCCTGTATTCAAATATAATTTTCAACGTTAATGTTTGGATATATTCATATGTCCTTCTTTCACCTTGCAGATGTTCTCTCTAGATTCTATATTCATTATTTCGAACTCATTCTAGACAGTAAACCACTTTTTATCTATACAACTAATAAAACCGAATCTTTCTTTCTTGTCAAATTGTATTTTATCTCTACCTCTGTAAGTTTAAAATTTAAGGGCTTTCCTTTTTAATCTTTAAGTTTAAGGTGAAAATAAGTAACAAACGATTTAATCTTAACGGGTAATTAGCCGACCTGATCAAATTGCACGTAAATCACCTTAAACAAACCCTCCTTTTGACCACACACATGTATCACTGTGTCTTTTTTTTCTTTTTCTTTCTGCTGTATCCCTTCAGGACGTGGGTGATTATAGCCATCCACAACTTTCTATCCTTTGTAAATTTGATCTTTTCACTATGCTTCCTTATTGCTATCTGCCAACCATTTGCACAATTTCGTTAGGGGAGGTCATGTGCTGTTTCATGTGTCAAATTTTCAGCTGTCTCTTTCCGACGTTAAGTTCCCTTTTGTTTCTTTTTTCTCTCAAACTACGCCGTTACTCACAATCCAGTTCATTCTCAGCATCGTTCTGTAGAACTACATTTCTGTGGAGTAAAAAACCTCTTAATCTCTAATTAGATAATCCAGCATTCAATACCATATATGAGTACCTATATTATATAACAGTTCAGTAATATTTTCTTTGTTTCTAATAAAATGTTAATATTTCTTCATACTTTGAATACAGTGCTTCATTTTCCATTCTTTGTTAAAACACTTTCGAGGAACTCTTAAGATTCTCGTGTTGGCCTGTTTATTTTGCTATCAACTATATATTCTCTCTTTTTATTGATGTCTAATCATTTCTTCTCGTTTTCCTTGGCTGCCTTCTGTACGAGTTCTTGTATTTTCCTTTCATTTTCATTGTTCTTTCTTTACTTTTGTTAAAACATTCTGCCGTCGTCTTTATGTAAAGCCATTTTCTGCCTCGTCGCATTATTTTTTTAAATTTTGTCTGAGATTTCCACAGCTTCAAGGTCAATTTTTCTTTAGTAAAACACAGGCAGTAAAACAACAGGACCGACTGAACTTGACGATGTTCTGCTAAACATCTTTTCATGATATTTAAAAGAATGAGTAGTTCGTGGAATATTTAGATGTTTTTACTCTTGCACTAATATACTTGAATTACAGCTAGTAGAGTGTTCAACATTTTCGACTGATCTGCTTGTTGAAGGCTATCGAAAACTGGGAGTGTTTCCAAAGGATTTCGGGCCATGTTGGAAGCGCCGACACCAAACCTTTATTGGGTCGTCGCTCATTAAATCATTGCCGAAAGGCTTCGTAATCGTTGAAGTATTTTCCGCAGATAAATTTTCAAGTTTCATAGGAAGCCACAGTCACACAATACACATACTCAATCTGCCAACTGGTTAATCCCACGGGAGAATGATTACGCATGCGCAATCAGTT